ATATATATAACGGGGTACCTGAGAGAAAATAAAATCAATATATATAATGGGGTACCTGAGAGAAAATAAATAAAATAAATATAACGGGGTACCTGAGACACAGAAAATAAAATAAATATAACGGGGTACCTGAGATACAGAAAATAAAATAAATATAACGGGGTACCTGAGAGAAAATAAAATAAATTAATATAACAGGGTACCTGAGAGAAAATAAATATAACAGGGTACCTGAGAGAGAAAAATAAATATAACAGGGGTACCTGAGACAGGAAAATACAAAAGGTGTACCTGAGAAACAAAAAATACACAAGGTGTGCCTGAGATGGAAAAATACAACAGGTGTAGCTGAGACACAAAACCACAAAATCATCCTGGGGTAAGGCTGGGGATGAGAGTCTTGTAATACAAGCAGACTCGAATTTCTTCACGCATATATAATAATAATATAAATATTATATAAAAATTATTACTATCATTAGCTATATTCTAATTATTATGTCATTATATATTTGGTTTTATAATTATAAAATATATTTATATAATTATAATTAGTATATAAATTGTATTATAGTATATATTATTAAGATGTATTAGATACCTATAAATTAGATTATATATAATATAGATTAGATATTATATAGATTATAATAGATATATCTAGATTAGATAATATATCTTTATTTCTATAGCTCGTATTTGTAGGAAATATTAGCAGGTACAGCGTTAAATTTAATTGGTTATTATATAAAATAATTATAAAATATATTTATCTTATTATAATTATTATATAAATTATATTATTATAACTATTATTAATAGATACATTAGTTATAAATAATATATATTTATTTATATAGCTCATATTTGTAGGAAATATTAGAAGGCACTGTGTTAAATTTAATTGGTTAGTGATCTAGTGAAACCTAGTTTATTGAATATGTTTATTAATATTTTTCTTTCTTTAGATAGTTTATATATTTTTGTTTATTGATTTTCATGGGGTACATTTCTACTTTATATAGGTGAATAATATATATAAATACCTATATATATATATATCGGTTATTTACCATATATATGGTTTTCTTATTAGAACAGATTGTTGTGCTAATTGATTCTTATTCCTTTAATTTTTTTGCCTCATGGGAATTTATTAGGCTAGCTGTTAACTGTATTTTGCTGAAGCAATAAGCTTAAGTTATGATTTTATAAAGCTTTTTTTTAAGAAGGTTTTTTTATTTTATGCAGTAGAAGAAGTAATTCTAATATAACTACAGAGATAATTGCAGCCAGGAGAGCATTTCTGCAGTCACAGAAACACAATCTCCAAACATTGCTGCCCTCACCCATAGAAATAACTCTGGGTATTCTCAGGCCAATAATTCTTTATTTCAGTCGATAGAAGGACCAGGTTTGTGAGTGATGTCCTGGGGACAGAGGTGGAAGAAGCAGGGCTGGGCCCCGGGGATTTGTGGCTCCTCATCCCCCTGGCACAGAAGGATCTGCAGGAGCCTCCTGTCAGCACCATTCCCTGGATTCTCAGTGCCCAGCACCACCAAAACTTCCTCTCATCCCTGAGCTCTGGGAAAGCACAAACTCTGCAAACTCCCAAACCTTGACCCACGTTTAGGTCGGGATAAACACCAACATCCCAACCCCTCCAGGCCATGGAAGCACACGTTATCTCCCCAGCTTCTCCCTGCCAGGAATCACAGGAGTGCTCTGCTATCACCCTGGCACAGGGTGACAAACTCCCCAACATCCAGCTGGCAGGAAAACTCCAGTTTGTACACACAAAAAATCCTCTGTGCCTGGGCTGAAAAATAAAGTGTTGGTATTTCCACTAAGCCAGGAGTTCACTGCCTCCAATTCCAGGCACAACACAAGCTCCTTCCCCACACCAGGACATAATTCTCCCTGCCCTCCCCTGCATTAAGCTTCCATTTGATTTTATCAGCCTCCCTCTAATTGCACAGTCATCATCTGGGAGCCTTCTCCTTACTGCAAATCACGGTGTTCAAAGGAATAATTCACAGGCTGTGAAGTGATGCAGTGCATTTAAAAAAAAAAAAAAGAATTATGCACTCCTCTGAATGTTACCATTTCTTTTAGTTCACAAAATCAGCCACAGCTGTTAAGATAGAAAGTGCTTATTATAAAACCATGAGGTTGCAAGAGCAAAATTTCTTTCCCTTAATGAAACAGTCCTAGAAAGATCTTTGAAGCTCTTCCCTCACAATTCCCTCCTGGTTAATCAGTTGAAGGGCAACGTTTTGGAGCAGTGCAAGGAAGGAAAAGCAGGAGAGTAAAATATAAGAAAGTCTTCCTGGAAAAATAACCAACAAAACAACTATATGGGTGGGATTAAAAGAGGCTGAACAAATGTACAAATGTCCAGATCCAGGAATGTACAGCTGCAATGAACAATGGCTCTGCAAATAAATTAACTTGACTCACAGGCACTGATAAGGTCTAACTGCTCCTTCACTGGCTAACCCCTCTAACTCCTTCCAAACGAGGCAACTGTAACACAATATTTACCTTATTTCCTTTGCTGGTAAAGGGTCAAACTCAACTCCTTCACCAAAGGATAAAGGACACAATCTTGGAGGGCAGCTGGAGAGAACGGGGCTGGGGGAGAACACGGAACTCTGCAAAAAAAAATGCAAAATGTTTGATGTTATCATATTGTTGCAACTTTTAGGTTACAGTGCAGTACATTCTCAGGAAAACAGATTTATTTATCCCTTGTATGGAGCTGTTGAGGTTCACGTTTATGTGCAGGAGGATCTGCTAGATCAAGATGTGCTACAGGTGCATCCTTTAGGCCTGACTCCACACCGGTCTAAAGCATCCTAGAGGTGGCCAGGAGCATTTTTGGAAGCCAAGCTCCTAATTTCAGGAGCTTAATCCAGAGAGGAGCCACTCAGGGAAATGAGAGAGGAATGCAAACCCTCGGTGCAGTGCAGGCTGTTCCCTGTATTAACCCACGCTCAAGTTATAAAACCAACATTTGATGGGTGTCTGAGAGCTCCCTCCTTGCTCAATTCACCCCAAACGACCACAGCAGGAAATGATCACAGGGCACCTCACCGTGAGCCACCTCCCTGCTGCACAGCTACGCCCTGGCTCCTGTTTGAAGGCGTTAAATCCAACCGAATTCACACAGCAAGGGTTGGGAAGGATTAATTCATCCCCGCTGAGGGTGATTCCCTGCCTGTCCCTGCGCTGCTCTCCTGACACCCAGCACCACGGGCTGACACCGAATCCCACAGCCCAAGGAAACCAAACCTGAAGGGATGGAACCCAGCCCGTGTGTGTTTTTGAAGCCACCCCTGCACGTGTTTACTAGCGAGGGGCTGTGAGCATTTGTCCCTCCTATGGCCTTTTCCAATTTCACAGCAGCACCCCTGTAGAAAAAATGATTTTTCCTCCAAATCTGCAGTCTCCAAAGTATTTGTACCAGTAGCTCAACATCCAAAAGCTACTCGGGTGAAAAACCAAATTAACTGAAACCACGGTTTATGCACAATAAAGTTACTGCTCCGGGTCACTCCGGAATAACGGGAGTTCACTTTCCACAGGGATTTCCAAAGACGTGCTGCGAACTGGGGCAGAAGGAAGAGGAGCTTCCCTCGCAGCCAGAGCTTTGAGAAAATCCCCGGTTCCCGGCGGGATCTTCCCTCCCGGTGCAGACCCGGGACACGGCACGGCCGGAGGGCTCGGTTAGAGAAACGGGGAGAAACCGAGAGAAAGATGCGGTGCTTCCAGCCCATTCCCACGGCGGGATTCCCACCCTCCTTTCCCCACGGGATGCGCGGGGTCCCGGGACACCGAGCGGCAGCGGCTCCGGGGGACCCCGCACCTGCCGCGACAGCTCCGGAGGGTCCGGAGGGCTCCGAGCAGGCGGGGAAGGGTCGGGAACCGGCAGGGAAAGAAAGGGTCGGGAACCGGCAAGGAAGGGTCGGGAGCAGCCAGGGAAGGGTCGGGAACCGGCAGGGAAGGGAAGGGTCGGGAGCAGCCAGGAAGGGAAGGGAAGGGCCGGACTCACCGCGGAGGAGGACACCGGCGGCTCGGGCTCCGGGATCCCGTTGGCGGCGCGGTCGGGGCTGCCCGAGGAGAGCAGCCAGGGCGGCGGGGCCGGGCCGGGGCTGGGGGGTAAGCCGGAGTCGGGGCTGTCGAGGCCAGAATCGCCCCGTTTCCTCATGTCCGGGAGGTCGGGCACCTCCCGCAGGCTGAGCCGCCCCACCATGGCCGAGCCGCCGCTGCCCGCCCCGGCCCCGCCGCTGCCCGCGCTGCGCTCCCTGCACCGGGGCGGCGGCGGCGGCGGGCGGAGCGGCGGAGGAGCCGGGGAGGGGCCAGGCCAGGGGCGGGGCGAGTCCCGGACCGTGTCCCACCGGTGTCCCTGTGCCCCCCGGTGTGTCTGTACCCACCCTGTACCCACCGGGCTCTCCCCGTTTTCCCGCTGTCCCTGGTGATCCCATCCCCGCATCCCCCGTCCTGCATCCCTCGCCGGCACCGCACGGGATCGGACACGGGAAGGTGGCGGAGGGACCGTGCCTGGGGAAAGGCAGATCGGGAGTGGCACTCAGCGCTCTGGTGTGGTTGGCAACGTGGGGACGGGTCCCCCAGTTGGACTCGATGATCTCGGAGGTTTTTTCCAACCTAAATGATTCTGGGATTCTGTGAAACCGTGCCCGGTGAGCTGCGCTCCTCGCATCCTGGTCCAACCCACAGCGCAGCATCCCAAAGTGCTGCCAGCATGGATTTTGGGGAGCGCTGAAAGAGCTGCCAGATCTTGCGGTGCTTTCCCCAACAGCAGGGATTTTAAGCCCCCCCAAGTTCTCCCTCCAGGCTGCTCCTTCTCCCTCCCCATTCCCGAGCATTCAGGCTCAGGCAGCAGCGCTGCCGCCCCTAATTGCATTTTTTAGGCAAAGCTGCCGAAGCCGAAACAAGAGAACAGAAGGAAACGGTCTTTCTAGCACTACAGGAGACCGAGGGAACCTTTTTTGGAAAATCCTAATGAAATAATTGCGCCATGTCATCAGATTTGGTGGGGGAATACTCTTGTGGAGGGAAAGCAACTCTGCAGCCGGCCAAAGTCAACACTCCCCTGCGCAGAAAGCAGCAGTCTGGGCTGACGGGCCCAGCACAAGTGAACCCAAACCTCTGGAAAAAATTCCTTCCCTGCCCCAAAATTAAAAGCAGAGCAGAACTTTCAGCCGTAGGCGTCTGTGGTTTGCAGCTATGCGGTGCTGGGAACTCCGGAGACTTCCTCAAGGAATTTACATTCCTTTGAAGAAATACTATGAGGCTGTTTGTCTTTGCTGAAAAATGCAGATGGAAAGAAAAAGAACATTAAGAGTTTTGACTGAAATCTTTGGGGTCTGAGCAAATGTGCTGGACAGGTGTTTTCTTCCTTTTAATTTAAGTGTACGCCTCCAAAAAAAGAGATGCTAGTCTCTACAAGCAATAGGAAAACTGGTCACTCCTCACTCCAAAATCTCCCATAAAAGCCCTTCATGAAATCAGATGCCTTGGAAGGCACTGGAGCAGTTTCCAGATGAACACAATCATCATTTCAGAGCTGCTGTGCAGCTCCTGGGTGAAAATCCGCTCTGCCAATAACCCACTAAATTGCACTGAAGTTGCAATTTAGTAGGGGGAACTCGGGGCACATCCCAGCAGTCACCTCTGGGAGCTGTGGGTGCTCCCACAGCCACTCCCATGGGGATCAGGGTCCAAGCAAGAGGGATCTCAGTGCCTGGGATAAGCAGAGCTCCTGGAAGTCTTTGTGCTCCTTATTTACTAGCAAAAAAACCCTCCCAATTCTGGCGTGGCTTGACACAAAGGGTAATTTTTTGTGCCCTTCCAAGTTCTCGTTTCTGGGCTTTGCAGCCCACTCGAGGGTCTCCTGCAACACCAACATCCAGACGTGCCAATCTGCCTGCTAGGATGAAAAGGAAGTGTTCAAGCAGAATTTTAACAGCTCAGTAACTGCAGTGCTGTTGAGTCACTGTGTACAGGGGCTCTGCTTCTCGGACGTGCACTCTGCCCTCTCGGAAAGTCTGACTGGTTTTAAGTCTCTCAAACTGTACCAACCTGTGCCATTTCCAATGATGGCATTGGAAATCTTTTCCCCTGCCTGTTTGTCCACATTATTTACTCTTTAACTGCCCACACACAGGCAGGATAGGGCAGATACAAGTCTCTTATCAAGATCCTCCTTCCATAAATGACTTTCCACCAAGCCAGGCGTGCTTGGCTTAATCAGCAACCAAAGCACGGGGGGGGCCGTGGCTGGGAGAAGCCAACCAAAAGGATGCTGTGTTATTTGAAAAGGATGGAAAGTTATTTCCAAAGGATGGGAAATGCCAGGGTGTGTCACAGACGAGCTGTGCTCACCCGGCACTGGGATTGACGGCAGGGATGAAACTGCTAAGGTTTCATCAGCTTTTACAGCCCTGCTGCCACCGCCCTCATGGAGCCAAGCAAAGGCTCCTGGAGGCTTGGACATCGTCACTTGGATGCTCGGAGTCCTGGCTGTAAATCTGGGGAATGAAAGGAACACCCAGCGCCCGGCGCAGGCTGCTCCTGCCCAAGGGTGGAGAGGGCAGGAGAAAAGCAAATGAGTCATTAATTCTCTGAGAGAAAAGGAGCTGCTCCAGCGTCATGCAGAGCGTGGAAAAAGGCACTACCCCTTAATTAATTTCAAAGGAAAAATCAGGATCTCTACGAAATGGCTCCCGCAGTGGCAGACAGCAGAAATGATGTGATTATTTAAGGGCACGAGGTCGGGAGTGTTGAGCCACCCACGCGGTGCAGGAGCTGCTGAGAGTGTGGATGCTGCCAGAGAAGGTGGAAAAGGCAGAGGGGAACTGCAGGAGCAGATGGACAGCAGGGACTGCTGGGTCCAGCACGTTTTGGGTGAGGTCCATCCCAGCCACTGGGATTTGCAGCCGTACAGAAAACACCCAGCAATGAGCATCAGTAACCATTTAATTAATTTTAGTGTCACGCCCCACGTACAGCCAGAATTACACCCCGGCCCGAAACCATAAAAAGTGGCATTTTGTACGGAAAACACATAATCATCCTTTATTCCCCAAAGCTGTAAACTCCAAAGAGCTAATGCACAAATAGAGACCTGCCAAATCTAATAAACACCCAAGAGCCAGGGGCACAAAACTCCTACACCAGAAGTAGAAAACTGTGGATTTGCTCTCTGGAAGTGGAACTCCAAACACACAGCCCTGTAGCATTCTTCAAAGGCTGAAACTAAAAATTCATTTCTGCTTTTATTTCCTCTTATCTACAGAATGAAATGCAGAGAATGAAATGGGGGAAGCCTTTGGGTAAGACACACAATGATAACTTCAACATCATCTTCAGCTATTCATAATTTAGTGAGAGACTTAGCCTTAGACAAAGCAAAGAAAAATTCATCTAAAATAAATTATTCATCCCCTCATGGGAATAATGAATCTCTGCAAACCCATGTTCCCTCCTCTCCAGCTCTGCAGTGTGGTACCTCGTGAGCCATCCTGCACATGCACCTTGAGATAATCTGTCCTCAGGGAACGGCTGCTCAGAATCCCAATGTGCTTTCAATCATTCCTTCTTTTTTCACCTAACAGGGAATCAGGAGAGGAAGCAAACGAGGCAACAGCAGATTTGTAAAACTGGAGTGATGAGAAACTGCTGTCCCTCCCCACAGGTGTTGATATTGCTGCTCTTCACTCCCCATCCCAGTGAAGCTCTGGGTTTGGGTTCCTGGAGCCTGATCCTCCCTCCCTGACGTGCAGCAGTGATTTTTACAATCCCTGTGAGCACAGCTCCTAAATAAATACAGTCCTAAGGCCCAAACTTGCCCTGGTGGGGAGCACAACCCTCCCAGGAAGGCATCTGACAGCATGGTTGTTCCTCACCTGCCACACTGGTACAGGACTTCTCTTTTCCTGCACATGCAAGTGAAGCTTGAGTTAAATAACACAGGCACGACTGGTTGATCTGCCCTACACCCGTGTGGGACTCACTCATGGTTGTGTGTGTGCCTTCAAAGTCTCCCAGAAAGGGTACAGGTGAGTTTGGGAAGAAATCCAGCAGTGCCAATGCCAAGGTGAGGCCTCCCTGCATGGAGATTCCTTGGGGCAGCATTCACTGATCCCAACCCTGCTCCACGCTGGGGGCCATGGGAAGAGGGGCTTGGGTTACCCAAAATATTTCACTGCTGGTTCTCCTCCCCTCTGCACTGCTGCAAGCTGAAGCTCAGAGGAGCAAGGCCTTGAAGCCTAGGGCTGCTGAAAGCCTCCTGCCCCAGCAAGTGGCCCTGGCTCCCTGACAGAGCCAACATTTCCAGCAGCTCTCCTTGCAGGGCAGCAGAGGTGCCAGGGTGGCACATCCCTGCTCAGGACACGCCAGCTGGAGTGAAAATGAGGGGCTGGAGCAGCCTGACACTCACTCCATGAAGGATTCTTTGTGGAGAGAGGGAGAGATGCTGGCCAGGAAGGATGGGATCCCACTGGGGACAGCAGGTGAGCCCAGCACACGCCAGGGAAACACCAAGCAGCTGCAGAGGGCTCCACTCCTGTCTTGCTTGGCTTTTAAGCTCCAACAGCAGCCGAGGCTGCCAGCTGGTTGGCAGGAGCTTTGCCAAGGTGCAGAAGGCATTAATTTAGCTCTTTCCTCCTGTTCTGAAAAGGATTTGCCTTGCTGTTTCACGGTGCTTTATGCATGCCTGGCCTGGGAGCAGGGGAGGAGTCTGCCTTGGGATTCCCTCCTGGGCATCTCATTGATTCAGAGGAGCTGCAGATGCCAGATCCCAGCTGTTAAAGGGTTGGGGTTTTGGTGGTGGTGATGGTTTGGGGTTGGTTCCCCCCAGCCCACAATAAATAAGGAACCAGGAGCAGCTCTGCAGCAGGGAGTGAGCAGTAACACAGAACTGAGGCAAAACCCTCAGTGCTGCAGCAGGAGCTCAGCCAGGGTGAAAGCTGTGACACCAAGTGCACCACAGCCAGACAGACAGTCTCTGAATCCACCTAAATTGTTTCTGTAGCTGCTGGCTTCCAGATGCCTCTATTTTCTCCATCACTGGCAATGTCCTGGCTTTCACTCCTGCTGAGCTCAGGGCAAACACCTCGGTCAGGCTCCTCCTTGGTCTGAAAGCGCCGCACAACGCGATGGCTGAGACATCACAGGGAGTGACAGCACACTGCTGGAAATCACAGTCCTGACGAGCTCTGCTCCCCCTCA